GGAGAAAGAGAGTAGAGTCTCAGGAAGATAATTCCTAGGCGAGCCTTCCACTGCGCCCAGCGCAGCAGCCACATTACCTCGTTGCATCCTCCAAACTCTACGACACAGGCTGTTACCGTCCCCACGCTGCAGATGAGAAAACTGAGGCTCAGAAGGGAGAGGGAGTGAGTGTGTGAAGAAAGCCGGATTCAAAGGCAGCGCGGCCAGACTGCGGAAACACCCAAACCGCGGAGCTCCCCACCCCTCCACGTCGGCGGCAACCCGCATCATCGGGGCTGGGCGTCCGAAAATCTCCCCCTACAGGGCGGCACAGCCACCCCTTCCCTGCGCCCAGCTCTTCGCCCTCGGTCCGGACGGCCCTGGGGTCCCCGGAACCCCTGTATCCATCGCTCCCAACCCCCTCCTCCCCGCCAGCCCAGGCCAGGTCCGGCCGCTGCCGGATCCCGGAGGGAAGCCGGTGCCGCAGGCTTTGCACCGCCCCAGCCCCAGTGGGGGCGGGAGCAGGGGAACGGTTGGGGGAAGGGGCCCCGGGGGCGGCCAGGAGCCACTCACGCGTCGAACTTGTTGTTCATCCTCTCGCCGCCGCTGTCGCCACTGCCTCAAGGAGTGACTTCCGCTCCACCAGGTCCCTCAGCCTTAGGCCCGGGTACTTCCGGTTTTGGGCGAGGCGCACCGGAACGTCGGCGCGCAGGCCCGGCTGGGGGCTGCTATCCCGGGACGCCTGCTCTGGGCGACTGCGCAGAAGGCTGGTCTCAGCGGCAGAGCTGGCGGCTGGCCTCAGCAATTTCGCTGTCCAGGTGTTTGTGAGCCGCCTGTTCTCCTAAGGGAGCGTGTCCTGGCACCCTACCGCAGCGGCTCGGAAAAAAGACAGCACCGCGGTCGTTGATGGAGCGGGCTCTGGACTCGCTGATTGGTAAAAATCCTCCTCCTCCAGTGCGGGACGCACCCTCTGGCATCTCTCTTAACCTCCCCGAGGCTTTCCTTTGGCGGCGACGCCACTCTAGTATGGCATCCCTGGTTTTATTGCGCTTGGTACATAGGGCTTTCTGAAAACGAATTGAGGGTTTGTGGCAGCCCTGAGCCCAGCAATTGTATCAGCGCCATTTTTCCAACAGCATGTGCTCACTTTGTGTCTCTGTGTTACATTTTGGTCATTTTCAAAATATTTCAAACTTTTTCATGATTTCTATGTCTGTTATGGTGATCTGTGATCAGTGATCTTTGATGTTACTATTGACATTGTTTTGGGGTGCCACATACTGCATCTTTTGTAAGACAGCGAACATAATGTGTGTGTTCTGACTGCTTCACCCACAGACTGTTCCCCATCTCCCTCTTCTTGGGCCTCCCTATTCCCTGAGACACAACAATATTGAGATTAGGCGAATTAATAACTCAGCAATGGCCTCTAAGTGCTCAAGTGAAAGGAAGAGTCGTACGTCTCTCACTTTAAATCAAAAACTAGAAATGATTAAACTCAGTGAGGAGGGTATGTCAAAAGCTGAGATAGGCCGAAGGCTAGGCCTTCTGCGGCAGACAGTTAGCCAAGTTGTAAATGCAAAGGAAAAGTTCTTGAAGGAAATTGAAAGTGCTACTCCAATGAACACACGAATGATAAGAAAGCGAAACAGCCTTATTGCTGATATGGAGAAAGTTTTAGTGGTCTGGATAGAAGATCAGACCAGCCGCAACATTCCTTTAAGCCAAAGCCTAATCCAGAGCAAGGCCCTAGCTCTCTTCAACTCTATGAAAGCCGAAAGAGGTGAGGAAGCCGCAGAAGAAAAGTTTGAAGCTAGCAGAGGTTGGTTCATGAGATTTAAGGAAAGAAGCCGTTTCCATAACATAAAAACACAGGGTGAAACCACTAGTGCTGATGTAGAAGCTGCAGCAAGTTATCCAGAAGCTTTAGCTAAAATCATTGACGAAGGCGGCTACACTAAACAACAGATCTTCAATGTCGATGAAACAGCCTTTTATTGGAAGAAGATGCCATCTAGGACTTTCATAGCTAGAGAGGAGAAGTTAGTGCCTGGCTTCAAAGCCTCAAAAGACAGGCTGACTCTCTTGTTAGGGGCCAATGCAGCTGGTGACTTTAAGTTGAAGCCAATGCTTATTTACCATTCTGAAAATCCTAGAGCCCTTAAGAATTATACTAAATCTACTCTGCCTGTGCTGTATAAATGGAACAGCAAAGCCCGGATGACAGCACATCTGTTTACAGCATGGTTTACTGAATATTTTAAACCCAGTGTTGAGACCTACTGCTCAGAAAAGAGGATTCCTTTCAAAATATTACTGCTCATTGACAATGCAGCTAGTCATCCAAGAGCTCTGCTGGAGATGTACAAGGAGATTAATGTTGTTTTCATGCCTGCTAACACAGCATCCATTCTGCAGCCCATGGATCAAGGAGTAATTTCAACCTTTAAGTCTTATTACTTGAGAAATACATTTCATAAGGCTCTAGCTGCCATGAATAGTGATTTCTCTGATGGATCTGGGCAAAGTAAATTGAAAACCTTCTGGAAAGGATTCACCATTTTAGATGCTATTAAAAACATTCGTGATTCATGGGAGGAGGTCAAAATGTCAACATTAACAGGAGTTTGGAAAAAGTTGATTCCTACTCTCATTGATGACTATGAGGGGTTCAAGACTTCAGTGGAGGAAGTAACTGCAAATGTAGTAGAAATAGCAAGAGAACTAGAATTAGAAGTAGAGCCTGAAGATGTAACTGAATTGCTGCAATCTCATGATAAAACTTTAACAGATGAGGAGCTGATTCTTATGGATGAGCAAAGAAAGTGGTTTCTTGAGATGGAATCTACACCTGGTGAAGATGCTGTGAACATTGTTGAAATGACAACAAAGGATTTAGAATATTACATAAACTTAGTTGATAAAGCAGCAGCAGGGTTTGAGAGGATTGACTCCAATTTTGAAAGAAGTTCTACTGTGGGCAAAATGCTATCAAACAGCATTGCATGCTACAGAGAAATCTTTCATGAAAGGAAGAGTCAATTGATGCGGCAAACTTCACTGATGTCTTATTTTAAGAAATTGCCTCAGCCACCCCAACCTTCAGCAGCCACCACCCTGACCAGTCAGCAGCCATCAACATCAAGGCAGGACCCTCCACCAGCAAAAAGAGTACGATTCACTGAAGGCTCAGATTGATCATTAGCATTTTTTAGCAATAAAGTATTTTTAAATGTAGGTATGTATATTGTTTTATTAGACATAATTGCACTCTTACTAGTCTACAATATAGTGTAAACATAACTTTTATATGCATCAGGAAACCAAAAACATTCATGTGACTTGCTTTCTTGTGCTGATCTGGAACTGAACCTACAATATCTTTGAGGTATGTCTCTACCTACCTCCTTAGGTTGCTGTATGGATTCAATGAGACAGTAAACCATAGTAATGGCAGCTAATGTTAACCTTTGAGTGCTTACTGTACAAGGAGCTAATCCTCTGCCCTCTGAGGCTTTCAGAGAGGTTGAGAGACTTGTGCCAGATAACACAGCTAGTTAGGGGCTTATGGGAACCTGAAATGGCCCCACTGTCATCAGGTTCCCTCCCTGACTGAAGTTCTCCCCCCTCTCCCTAACCCCTCTAGGACTCTAGGGCTGTGACTCTGCTCTTACTTCAAACACACTGCACATGCACCCTCACAGACACACACTGGAGTAAATAAAATGAACTTGCTGGTGATTGAACCTCGAAGACAGCAATCCTGTGCTTGGAGGGAGGGCATATTTCCAAGCTTCCTTCTGCCAGCATATCCTGTTGTCAAGCCTTTATGTGGCACTTAAACATTTTTTTTGTAATTTTTTTTGAGACAGAGTCTTGCTGAGTCATCAGGCTGGAGTGTGGTCACATGATCACAGCTCACTGCAGCCTAGACCTCCTGGGCTCAAGCGATCCTCCCACCTCAGACTCCAGAGTAGCTGGGACTACAGGCTAAGTTTTGTATTTTTTGGTAGATACTGGGTTTCCCCATATTTCCCAGGCTGGGTTCCTGGGTTCCTGGGCTCAAGCAATTCACCCACCTTGGCCTCCCAAGGTGCCTGGATCACAGGTGTTAGCCACCACTGATAAGGGAACAGGGTCAGGGAGCATAGGTGACTTGCCCAAGGTGTCACCTGGTTACCAACCGAACTCAAGTGCCAGCTGTAATCTCAGAGCAGGACCTTGCCTATCCCCCAGGAAGACCTCAGCTTACTGCCCTATTATCTGATTAGTGGGGTCAAGTCAAAGTCTCCTGGAATGAAGAGCTCAGTGGCTCTGTGTTAACTCCATGCCTCCTTGCCTAGCTCTTCCTTGTCCTAACCATCCTTTGGGAAGAAGGGCCTATTTTTCAGGCCATAGAATCTTAGAATGTCAGATTTGGTCAGAGTCAGGAATTTTGGACTTCAAATCTTGTTTAACCACCAGTGTTTTGTGGAATCTCTTACTCTTGGCTCAATTTGCCTATATAACATGGGGAATAATGACTCTCAGTTGTCCATACTGCTGTGCAGAGCTCTTAATTAAAAAGGGGGCCAGATACAATGGCTTATGCCTGTAATCCCAAGACTTTGGGAGGCCAAGGTGGAGGATGACTTGAGCTCAGGAGTTCAATGCCAATCTAGGCAATATACAAAACCTCATCTCTACTAAAAACTTAAAAGTAGCTGGGCGTAGTGGTGCATGCCTGTAGTGCCAGCTACTTGGGAGGCTGAGGCAGGATGGTTTGAGCTCTGGAGGTTGAGGCTGCAGTGAGCCGTGATGGTGCCAATCCACTCCAGCTTGCATGACAGCAGTGAGAGTCTGCCTCAAAACTAAACACAACAACAAAAACTTAAAAAAAAAAAAATGGATCACAAAACTCAGGAAATCATCTTGGGGTCAGTGGCAGAAAAATGCACATGAATGGAAAGGCCACTGGGGCTGTTGAGAATTGGGTGCTTACTGTACCAGTAGGCAGGGGAGGGGGATGCCAGCCGGCATGGGCTGCTACTCTTCACACCTCTCTTTCAGGGAGAAGTTGTAAAAAGGGAGCCAGTCCCAAGCCTGAAGGTATCATACAAAACAAGAGTCCTTTGGGCTTCAGACTGATGAGAATTAATAATGCTTTGCCTAAGTGAGGGGGTGTGCTGAGTGCGGGAGTGGCTGGTGCCAGGACAAGCTAGCCAATGCCGCGTGGGTGCTGACTGCAGCAGCACACTAACCATAGGCCACCCCCAGTCACTCCAGGACTGCAGCTGGGACCCTTTTCCCGGCTTTTCTCAGGGCTGTTTGGCTCACACAGTCCTGAAGGGCACTTCCCAAAGAGCACGCTTATGACTTCGTTGGGAGAACATGGCTGACAAGACTCCATGTGACCCACACGTGTGACTCCCACATGTCCCGCGATGGTTGGTTGGCTCAGTCTGGTAAGGGCAGGTAGGGGCATGGATCTCCAGGGAAGGGCAGAGCGGGCACCTGGTTGTAGTGGGCCATGAGGAAGATGCCAGCTGTGCCACAAACGAAGAGCGAGAGCATGGCCAGGAAGCAGACTCGGTCCAGCACTCGGCCCACCAGGAACCACTCCTCATTCCCCTGAGGGTGGGAGGAAGGTGTGGGTTGACCAGCGGCGGCACCAGGCCTTCCCTGGGTCCCGTTCTCATCCTTGGGCCTCCAGCAAGCCCGCGTCTCAACTGGTGACTAATTCCATGGTCCCCTACCCCTGAGGTGTTCTCCCTACCCACTGTTCCATTTCCTTTTTTTTTTTTTTTTTTTGAGTTGGAATCTCACTCTTGCCCAGGCCAGAATGCAGTGGCGTGATCATGGCTCAGCTCACTGCAACCTCCACCTCCCGAGTTCAAGCGATTCTCCTGCCTCAGCCACCCAAGTAGCTGGGAATACAGGTGCCGGCCACCACGCCCAGCTGATTTTTTGTATTTTTAGTAGAGACAGGGTTTTGTCATGTTGGCCAGGCTGGTCTCAAATTCCTGACCTCAGATGATCCACTTGCCTTGGTCTCCCAAAGTCTTGGGATTACAGGGGTTGAGCCACGGCGCCCAGCCCCCTCTTTTTCCATCTCACTGCCCTACCTTGGCCACCCTACTCATCCTGTCTCCATCACAGGTCCAAGCCCAGATACTCACTCCACCCCCATTCCACCCTGACTCAGCTTACGTTGTCAAAGTGGCTCTGCTGGTGCCGGGCACGGGCAATGAGGTTGCAGGCTTCCACACAGGTCTGGATGGCTGGGGCGGCTTGCTTCAGACTGCTACAGAACTGGCTCGGCCCTAACTCCGGGCCTTTCTCTGATGAAGAGAGAGGATAAGGTTTGGGAGTAGAATGGAGGAGAAGCAGGCAGAGAAGATGGCCTCTCCTTAGGGACCCCAGCTCCTCTCTCCCTGACCTGGACACTTCTCCTGCACTTCTGCTGTGCCTGGCTCCCCAGCTGGGGTCCCGGGGGAGGAGTGTCCTCAGGCACACCTGCTGTGCCTCACCTAGCTTCTGCAGCGCTGCCGCCACCCGCCCCTGCCGCTGCCACTGCTGGAAGAGGAGTTCACTGCGAGGCAGGCAGAGGGCCACCTCCTCCCCAGTGGTGACCGACCATCCCATGGAACCATTCTGTAGCCGAGGCCGGGTGTCCTGCACAGCTTCCAGAGCCAGCGGGCGAACATGCATCCTCAGCAGCTGGGGCAAGAGTCTCAGGAACACCTAGAGAGGGGGTTGCTTTGCTAGGGCAGCCAGGCCTAGCTTCGGAGTAGAAGCTGGAGGTTGGCGTGAACGGCTTGTGCAGCTAGGGACCATGGAGGCTGCACACTGGGGCAGTGACATGGCCTTGGTAAAGCTTTCCGTACTGGACATGAGCCTGGATCCCCAAACTTCAGCACACATCGGAATCGCCAGGGCACTTGTTACAAACAGATTCCTGCCCTGCAGCCTCATGCTGTTCTGGCCTAGAATGCCTGGGGCAGGCCTGGAAATCCACATGTGCAGTATAGGTCCCAGCTGAAGGCTGCAGGTGGGCTGAACGTCACACAGGCTGCAGTCAGACTGCCCGGCAGATGCCTGCCTTTTCGACTTTCTAGTGCACTTTCTTGGGCAGGCTACTCTGTACACCTCAATTTCCTCCTCTATAACTGGAGATGATATGGGTTTTATGAAGATGAAATACATTAACACTGGTAATATCCCTGGTGCCTAGTAAGCAATTTTATTACTGTATTGCTGTAATCAATTTTGGTCCATGCTTCAGGATACACCCTGGATGGGTTTGCTGTGGAATGCTGCAGGTAAGGAATATGGCCGGGGCAGCTGAAAGGGAGGCATGGGGGACTGGGCAGCAGGATGTTGGAGTGGGCAGGGAGGATCCTTGCCTTTCGGACCCCTCGGGCCATGAAGTGTGTGTGGGGGGACCGCAAGGACACGTTGAGCACGACCACAGCATTCACAACAATGAGGATGGTCACCACCAGGAGGAAGGTCAGGTACCTGTCGGAGTGGGGTGGGCAGGAGCTGGCAGCCCATACCATGATACCACCCCCACCCTTAGTGGCTGCTCCCCTCAGGCCTCCTGAATTGAGGATGGTGGGGTGGAGGGAGGGCAAGAGGGCAGTGCCGGAGGCCATTGTGCTCCCAAGAAGGGAGAGTGGGGTGGGCGTGCAAGCATGAAGACCAGCCTTACTTGCTGATGAGTGGCACCGCCTGGGAGGTTTCGGGCACCTTCTTGGCCACAAGGAAGAGGAAGACAGTCTGGGCCAGGAGCACGTTGATGGCGACGGTACACTTCTGGCCTCCAGCTGGCCCGTGACCAAGAGGCTCTCAGAGCAGGTCCGTACCTCCCTGACCCACGGAGCAACCCCTTACCCCAGAAGTAACCCACTGCCTCTCATGGGTCATAGTGCCACTCTGTGTCCCAGGCAGGGCCCGCCCCAGCCTCCCAGGTATCCCCTGTACTACTGGACGGCTCCCTCCCATAGGATCCAGGTACCCTTGGCAGGAAGGAAGTAGATGAGGATGGCGACTGAGGAAATGAGCACGCAGGGGGCAATGATGTTGATGACGTAGAAGAGGGGCTTGCGCTGGATGAGCAGGTAGAACACCACCTTCTGGTGGCCTGCCTCCTGGGCTGGTGCTGCTGTGTCCAGGAGCATCTTGGCCGGTCGGTGCCGGATGGCCCACTCCCCATTCTCTGTGGGCAGGCAGGCAGGCAGGACTGGGCACAGGGAGTGTGGGCCAGGCAGATCCCTACAGCCTGACTGACCCAGCTGCAAGGGCAGCATGCACCCTAAGAAGCACCAGCAGGGAAGGCACCATTGGGGGACAAAAGTGGGGTGGGAGATTGAATACTCGAGCTCCTCCTTTCAAAATTGGAGTCATTATCATGAGGAAACTCAGAGCTTAGTTGGACGTTTTAAAAAACATATTTTATGGTTTGCTGTAGTCTTCATTTTGAGTTACATGGGAGGGATTTGACCTTGGTCTGGCCTTGACCACAGCTGAGTCTGGCAGGAGCCCTGGATGAGGTTGCCTGGGGAGCCCCTGGGTGGGGGTTACCTGTGAAGGCCTCAGGGTCAATGAAAATCCACTCGATGGTCTGGCCATCTTCCTGACTCAGCTGCAGATCAATCTCATTGGTGCTGTAAGTCTGGGACCTTGGAGCCACGGAGGAAAGAGGCTAAATGTGAGTGGGTAGACCTGCCATGAGTGCCTAGGGATGACCATCTGGGGACAATTTTGGGTAGCTTTGCTTCAACGAAATGCAGCCCCATGCTTCTGAGTTCTCCATGAAACCCTGGGGCTGAGATGTGGAGGGCAGGGAGACTTAGGGCCCTTTGGGGTCAGGAAGATTGAGTTGAAGGGCTAGGAGGCTGCAGCTCACGGCTCTCACCTGGCTGACAGGCCCAGGGCCACTCTGCATTTGTCCCTCCCACTGCTCTCGGGGAGGAGGGGCTGATGATGGCAATGTAGAAAATACACGCCTACCGAAGGAGAGCCCCGGTGTCTACAGAGCGGAGTCTCCCTCCCAGGTTGGCTTGTAGAAAATACTGCTCCTCTAAGATACGGGAGAACCCTCACTCAGGCCCTCCTCCCCACACTTGGGTTTGAACAGACCGAGAGACCCCCACAGGTGGCTTGGAGGCATACGTGCTTCCGCTGGATTCCCAGCCAGGACCCCTCCCTCACAGGACAGCCTGCCTCCCTGTGGGACTGGGGAGTGCAGTGGTTTCGTGTGTGCATAGACATGCATGCTGTGTGCCTGTGTGCCTTCTCACCCACACACCCCACACATGACTGTCTCTCCTTGGGCCACAAGCAGGGAAACTGAGGCAGTGAAGGAGGATGAGTGAGGGGACTTGGGCTTAGCAGGGAGAGCTTGGGCACCTTCAGGCATCTTAGCCTGAGATGGGCACAGAAGCCCAGTAGAGATGGAACCAGGCCCTTGACCTCTAGGCCCAGGCCCTTGGCTGCCAGAGCCAAGGCCAGAAGCCTTGCCCAGGCCCTGCCCCACTCCTGTCAGGCCTGCCCCACCCCTACCCAGGCCTGCCCCACCCCTGCCCAGGCCCTGCCCAGGCCCTGCCCCACCCCTACCCAGGCCTGCCCCACGCCTGCCCAGGTCTACCCCACCCCTGCACAGGCCTGCCCCACCCCTGCACAGGCCCCTCTGAGAGCTGCTCTCTTAATCCTCCCCCGAAAATGGCCTCACTGGAAGACAAGGGAGCAGTTCTGCCAGTCGAAGGGGAAGTAGGTGACTGAGATAGAGCAGGCGGAACGGAAGATGGCGGGTGGCAGCCAGTAGATACAGCCGTCAGGGGACACGAGCACATTGCAGTAGAGGGCCACCTCGAAGACACCGTCCACGCTGCGTGCACAGAACAGGCCAGGCCATGGGGATGTGGGCTCAGCCCCTGACACCCCAGCCCCAGACCAGCCCCTCTTCCCTGTGTGGATAGGGGCCTGGAGATACCCGCCCCTACCAGGCGGCCACCCCCTGACTGGTTCTCACCCAGACCTCTAGGCCCCCCAGCAAGCTCCCTACCACCCCCCGCCCCAGACAGACTTCCTCAGGCACCACCTCCTAATTTCTGCTTCTCTTTCTCCCTCTTGTTTTAATAATAAGAATAGTCATCACGGAGACTAACATGTGTGAGGCCCACACCATGTGCCAGCCCCGCAGTGGTCCAATTTTCATGCCTGTCTTATTGACGTCTGCCAGCTTCTGTAGGAGCCATCAGCGGCCCCATGTTATAGGGAAGGGAGCAGCCCGCCCAGGTGGCCCAGCCCAGAGGGGATGCAGCCTGGCGTAGGGTCTGGTCTGCTGGCCATACCCAGGGCCCTGCCCTCGGCACCTGCTCCGTCCAGTTCTTCCCTAGCCCCGCGGGTGCCCGATTTGCACCCTCTGCTCATCTTTCTTTTTTCCCAGGGCCCCCTTGTTCTGCTGGACCCAGACCCTGTGTCCTTTGTCCCCCGCGCCCCCGCCTGTACCCCCTTCTCACTTGTTCTCCAGCACGACATCCGGCCGCCACACCATGGTGGACGGCACCCTCAGCACCCACAGGCCTTCATAGTCTTGTGGGTCCCAGCGCAGGCGATAGTCACACCACTGCTGCAGGGGGAGGGGCAGTTGCCAGGCCTCTGCCTTCTGCTACACTGCACCCCTAGGGGTGAGCATGCAGCCCAAGGGGAAAGAAGAAGCAGGGAGGGGGCAGGCAGCTCTCAGGAGGCCTTGGGGTTGTAGAGTGGGGCCCCTGATGGAAGGAGGGTGGCAGGGTGGCCTCTTACCATCTCTATCCAGACATTGGTGGTGAGGGCTTCCTCTCGCTCATTCTAGGGGTGCAAGGTACAGTATGGAGGGCTTAGCCCCGACTTCAGTGCCAGTCCCCATAGGCCACCGATGGGGCCAAGCAGCCCCCAGCCTCTTGAGAGCGCCCCCCAGCAACCATGGGGGTTTTTCAGACCCCAGCCTGTCCCCTGTGGGGCGCTCCAACCTCCTGGTGGCTGGAGCCCCCCCGTGCTATCCCCAGTGGGTCCCAGGGCCTGGTGTGCTGACCCTTCCTCCGTCCAGCTTACCAGGGAGATGAGGTTGGTGAGGGTGAGCTTCAGGCTGACATTGACCACATCTGAGTCTTGCTCGGCAGGCCGAAGATTGGGGTCGTAGTTTTGCATCAGGTCTGCGAGCAGGCGCTCCTCCTGGTTCCGGCCCTGGATCCCTGAAACAGACAGGTGTGAGCCTAGCGCAGGAGCTTGGGCGCGGAAAGAGTGGAGAGGCCCCGGGGGTGTGAAGTGGGGACTCAGGGAGCTGGGTCCAGGGCAAGCCCCAATAGCCCTCAGACCCTCTGTCCCCTGAGGCCGTGGACCCCGACTCTGGGACTCCCCAGGCTGTGATTCCTTTGTGTCCCACCCAGGCAGACAGCCAGCAGCGGCAGGAAGAGCAGCGGCCCCTGGGCCCCATGCATGGCGCCTCAGCTCTCTCAGTGATGGGTGGGACAGCAGCTCCAAGGTCTGGGGCAGAGAGAGATGGGCTCTGGGTGTCATATGACAGCCTACACTCCCACCCTGGCCGCCCCGGCCAGCCCAGCCAGCCCAGCCCAGCCCCACCAGCTGTCTGACCACAGCTTGTCAGCTGTTTCAGGATGGACACAATGCTGAGCTCAGGTTACCTGGGCTGGAGAGGGGAGACAGGGGCCCCGTCTGCCCCAACAGAGACATCCACCTCCCAGCCCCAACTCAGGCTCAGTTGTCCCAGCCCCACCTCCATGTTCCAGATGGGGGCCGAAGACACAGCCAGGGTCTGTTTGGTGTGGTAGGGAAGGCAGGTGGCTGAGGAACCTGATGGTGGCTTCAGAGAGGGCTGAGGTGGACTCCCTCCTGCTCCCTCCAGAGAGTCAGGATTTGGGTGGGTGTGAAGGTTGTTGGGTAGGCAAATGAGGTTTCTGTTTTGTTTTGTTTTTGTTTTTTGCTGGAGTGCAGTGGTGTGATCTTGGCTCATTGCAACCTCCACTTCCTGGATTCTCTTACTTCAGCCTCCCTGAGTAGCTGGGACTACTGGCATGCGCCAACACACCTGGCTTTTTTTTTTTTTTTTTTTGGTATTTTTAGTAGAGATGGAGTTTCACCATGTTGACAAGGCTGGTCTTGAACTCTGGACCTCAAGTGATCTACCCATCTTGGCCTCCAAAAGTGCTGGGATTACAGGCATGAGCCACCATGCCCAGCTGGCATGTTTGTGTGTGAGTTTCTCTGTGACATTGCTGAGGACCCCAGACCTCTCTCACCAGCCTGACATTTTCATGGGTCATTCTATTGTGCCAAGACACTGAGGGAAAAGTGCCTAGGAGAAAGAGGCCTATGCCTGGAGGACTTTAACACCTTAACAGATCCCTGCCCTGAGACAGGACATAGATCTGGTAAGCTTTGAAGTAAGAAGGGCTGAGAAAGATCTGGAACTCAGGGCTCCTGAGACTAGGACAGCCCCTGACTAGGTGCTCCTCAGTGAGGTCTCAGCGTTGATTCAATCATCCAACAGCCTTATGGGGCCCTCCAGAGAGTCAGATGAGGGGATCCAAAAGGGGAAGGAAAGGCCGGAAAATGAGCTCCATCTATTAACTTCCTGGTTTGTGGTCAAGAAAGGGCAGGGCTGAGGCTGATCTGGGCGCTAAGGGCCCTGCTGCCGGCTGCGGCCTCAGGCAAAGGAAGGCCACCTGCCTTCCGACCACCTATTATAAGCAGATGGGTCAGCGTGTCTCAGTACCAGGACAAAACAGAAATCTCAGGTTCTGATACCTGTCACCCACCCTTGACACTGCCATCAGTGTCCAGGGGATAGTGTGACAGGGAGCTCTCAGGACTGGAGGGAAAGTGCCCTGTGAGGACATCTTCCTCCGGCCAGTGAATGTCTGCAGCATTTCCATATGTGTCAGTAAATTGGAAGTCAGCCCTGTCCTTGGAGACCCAAGAAAGTTTGGCTCAGACCCCACCTTCTGGAGCAGGGTCTCAAGTCCCTCCTGTCCTGGTTAGGATTTCCAGGGTTGGGGGTGGGGAGGCAGGAGTGGTGGCAGCTGCCTTCCCCAGTCGGGTACTTGCACTGAGTCACTCTGTGGGTGGCTTCTCTGCCACCATCCTTGTGTTCAGTCTGGCTCGCGCCCCACTCTCAGTTCTTGACAGCCCATAAACCTTCCAAAGCTTCCCCCTCATTGGGCATCCCCCTCCCTGAACTTCCCCCTCCCTGAGAATCCCCCTCACTCAGCATCCCTCTCCCTGAACATCTCCATCCCTGAAGTTCCCCCTCACTGGCTTCCCCTCCCTGAACTTCCCCCTCCCTGAGCATCTCCCTCCCTGAGCTTCTCCCTCACTGGGCATCCTCCTCCCTGAGCTTCCCCCTCCCCATCTTCCCCCGGGATTCCCCTCCCCCCACCCCACTGAGCTTCTCTCTGTGTGACCCATCTTCCCTGGAATTTACAAAGTCCTTGTTTCTTTCTCACTTCTGAGCCCCTTGCCTTTCCATTTTGCCCTCTGGTGCTCCTAGATGCAATTTTCTTATCCTCTTTTGCAGACCAGTTTCTCTCCACCTCTTTACTCTCCTCCGTGCCCACACTTTGCCAAATTCATCAATGGCCTCCATGATCAAGAAGCACTGCCACCGAGTGGACCATCTGTCCCTGCATCCCCTGCCCCCCGCCCTCCTGTTTTCTCCCTCTCTCTGCTCTGGGAGAGGCGGCCCAGAAGCCTCCTTGGTGTTTTCTGAAGGGTAAATCATCTGTAAGGAATGGCAGTTTCTTGGAGGGGTTACGTGCCCAGGGACAGGACCCATTCAGGGAAAATCATCTGTAGAAATACTCATTGTCTAACGCTGCTTCTCCTTTGCCGCCCTCTGTTGTAATGGCTGATAGAGCGAAATACTCATTTCGTAGCCTCCCTTCAGGTAGGCTAGCCATGTGATGTTTTAACCTGTGGGATGTCTGCAGGGGCTTTATGGAAAAGTTTTTTTGTTTGCTTGGTTTTTGTTTGTTTGTTTGTTTATTTCTGAGATGGAGTTTTATTCTTCTTGTCGCTCCAGTACAATGGCATGATCTCGGATTACTGCAACCTCCACCTCCTGGGTTCAAGCAATTCTCCTGCCTCAGCCTCCTGAGTAGCTGGGATTACAGGCACCTGCCACCACGCCCTTCTAATTTTTGTATTTTTAGTAGAGATGGGGTTTCACCATGTTGGCCAGGCTGGTCTTGAACTCCTTGATCTCAGGTGATCCACCTGCTTTGGCCACCCAAAGTGCTGTGATTACAGGAGTGAGCCACTCTGCCTGGCCTATGGAAAAGTTTTGCTTCTTGATGACAGTGGTCAGAAATGGCTGCTCCTCTTCTGCCTGAACATAGGTGCTAAGTGTGCAGCTGTGGCTGTCAGCTCGCAACTTGGGGCCAACAGATCTGAGGACAAAAGCCAACTTGCCATGGAGGCAGGGCTGGGCAGAGGCCAAAGTGCCTGGGTCTCTGACAGCTTTGGTAGACCCTGGAGCCAACGTGGTCACCTCCGCCTCTCTATTATCATTATGTGAGAAAAAGGAAACCTTATGTGTTTAAGCTACAATTCCTTGAGCTTTCTGTTCCTTGCAGCCCAGTGTATTAATGATTCGCTGTCCGTTGAAAGAGGCCAGGTAGCCCTGTTGGTCTGGAGAGAGTAAGGAACTCTCTCTGGCTTCCCGGAAAGCTGTGCCTGTGAGTGTGACTTCCTGGGGCAGAGGATGGAGTTCCATGTCAGTCAGAGTGGACTGGTCCTGACAGCACCACAGTGCTGGGGGAGCAGGTGCCGCTGGTGGCAACTGCGGTGACCCTGGGAGCCTGTGCAAGAGGCACTCCCTCCGGTTTTGTGTGACATTTTGGTGTTGTCTCCTCTGGAAGTCCACAGCCACTTGAGCAGGGCCTAATAGAACTGAGGACTCGCCTGGTGGACCAAGACCTGCTGCCATCAGTGCCACCACAAGGCAGAGAGAAGCAAAGACTGTGACTGAGGGTCCTAAGCACACTCTTTTTTTTTTTTTTTTTTTTGAGATAGAGTCTTGCCCTGTCACCCAGGCTGGAGTGCAGTGGCGCCATCTTGGCTCACTGTAACCTCCACCTCCCAGGTTCAAGTGATTCTCCTGCCTCAGCCTCCTGAGTAGCTGGGACTACAGGCATGTGTCACCACACCTGGCTAATTTTTTGTATTTTTAGTAGAGACAGAGTTTCACCGTGTTAGCCAGGATGGTCTCGATCTCCTGACTTCGTTATCCGCCTGCCTCAGCCTCCCAAAGTCCTGGGATTACAGGCATGAGCCACTGCGCCTGGCTGACCCTCTCTCATCTCTGTGCATAAGACAGGCCCTCCCTGAGTTGATGGATTGTTCCTGTGAAGTCTTGGACTTCCTGCTCACCTGACAGGTGTGAGAACAAGCTGGCTTTCCTATTTAGACAGGAAAATTAAAGCTTTGTACTTTGAATTTTGTGAATAGTTCATGCTAGAAAGCAGAAGTACCTAGGGTCTGTTTTGGTTTTAAATGGTTTTTCTTTTTCCTTGGTTACATGTAAACATTAAAAATCTAAACTTCTGAGTATCTGAGTTAATGAGGTCACCAATTCCCCCTGAGGGAAATGGGTTAAATCACCACCCATTAAATGTGCAGGTCATATGAAAATAGTCCTACTAGAAATTCAATTTTCACAACACCCCATGACTAGGACTTATTAGACACACATTTTGCAGATTAGAAAATGGAAGCTAAGAGATGAGGAGTGGCTCAGAGTCACATTGCTGGTGTAATAAATTACACCAAAACTCTGTCACTTAAAACAACACACATTTATTATCTCACGCAGTTTCTGGGGGTCAGGAATCCAGGAGCCACTTAGCTGGTGGTTTTGGCTCAGGAACTTTCACAGGGATGCACACAAGATGTCTACTGGGCTGTGTTCTCATCTGAAGGCCCTACTGGGGCAGAGGATTCACTTCCACATTCACTAATGTGGCTGTTGGTGGGAGGCCTTAGTTCCTTGCCATGTGGTCCTCTCCACAGGGCTCCTCAACATGCCAGCTGGCTTCCCCAAAGTGAGAGATCCAACTGATGTGAGAGTGAGGGTGAATGAGCATGAAAGAGGCCATGATGTCTTTCCTAACTGAATCTGGGAAGTGAGGTACCGTCACCTCTGCCTCATTCTATTGGTTACGCAGACCCACCCTGGTACAGAGTGAGGGAACTGCACAAGGGTGTGAATATTGGGCATTGCTGGGGCCATCTTGGAAGTGGGCTGCCATACAAACAGACCCTTGTCTCCCAATTCCTGCAGCCTTGGCCTTTAGCCCTCAGGATAGGATTGGGTGGAGGCTGCCTTTGGGATAGGGTTGCTAGATTTAGCAAATAAAAACACAGGACAAATTTCAGATAAATGACAAATGATTTTTTAGAATATGTATGCCCCCAAATAATGCATGACAGCCCTGCTTTGGGGAGGAGTAG